TAGCTTTTTGTATATATGTATATATCTACATAGTAACCCTTACCGACATTGTTTTCTAAGATATTATGGACACTTGATTTCAAAGTCTATGGGTTCCAGGGTATCCTGATGCTGAGCCTGGTGTCAGCTATACAGAAGATACTCAGTAAATGCATGTGAGCAGACTGGAAATGAAGCATTCCATCTCTTCCATTGAACTATCAGACATCTGTAGGTTAAAAGAAATAAAACTATTCATAATCAAATAAGTTAATGGATTTTGTAAAATGTTAAATAGGATTCATTTCTAAAGTGCCTTCCACAGCCTCCAACACATTTGTGTGCCTGTGACACTAGGATGTGTCTTTATGATGATCAAATCAAGGGGATAATATATATCTGTATCTATATATCTACATCTATAGCTGTCTTTCTCTCTGGTATCTTTCCCTTTCAAACTCATGATAATCATGCTTAATCTAAAATGGCACTTCCCCTCATGGAGCCCAGGGCCCTTGTATAATTTTAGAATCTATGTCCTCACAAAGCTCCCAGAAGTTACCGTTGATTAGAGTCAGCACCTGCCATGGTTTATGTCTGTGGCCCCCAGGCCTCATGAATTTACATTGTGCATTTGTGATTGGTTCATTGTCTAGCACTTGGATGATGGTGTCAGTGCTACACCGGCCTAGGGGTGGATCCAGGATGTGATGTAACGGCAGGAAGAACGTGTGTGTCTCTCTTGCCGGTTTCTGCCTTGCTGTTTGCAGCCATCATGAACTGCGGCCCTGCCATGCCACCCTGCCTGGAGCCAACTGAGTCTGGACTGAAACCTCCAAAACCTGTAAGAAATAAGCCTTTCCTTCCCAACTTTGGTCATCAGGTATTTTGTCTCAGCAATAAGTAAAAAGTAACTAAGATGCACTTAAATTCAAAATTTGAAGTTTTTTACTTTATAGGTGAGAAAGTAGAAACCATACAACAAATAAAATCAAATTCGTAACTTGAATCTCGGTCTTTTGTTTACTGCTCTAGTACTTTTCCCACTATACTGAGTTGTCTACTTTTGTTCGTTTTTATTTTATTCCTGTATTTTCTGGACTCTTCAACTCTGCCTCTGAGGAGAGAATTAAAGGTGATGGAGTTTTTATAGCTCATGTTGTCTTGGACATTGGAGGTGCTTGATACATGCAGTATTTACTGATTATTTATGTTTCGTTTATACTAGTGATGATACATTTTAAATAATTCTGAAGTTTATTTTCTTCCCCTTTTTGAAATGTCACTCCATCTGACCATATTTTTACAGTCAGTAAGAAAAAAAAGATTTTTCTTATAGTCAGTGCCTTCAGCCTACTTCCTGCTCAGAGGATGGTGAATTTGTCCCATAGCTTCACCGAAACCAGGCATGCCGCTAGTAACACAGTAGACCTCAGAGCAGGGGCGGGACAGGGTGAGGGTGAAACACATTTGTGCTTCTGAGCGCTGAGCATCAGGCAAGCACCAAGCACGCCCAGTCCTCCTAACCCATATAGGATTTGGGAATTTACATTTAAACCATCAAAAAAATCTCTACCGTTTTTATCCCTTCTCTAAGTGTAGAGTCGTGATGCATGTTCTTCTTACAGCATCTGCTTACACATGAATGTGAACAGCAAGGTACTGAGGAGTGGATCTATCTCTGCTGCTGTAGTGACTCATCTCTTCTACTCCTGCCCTGACTTGGGCTTACTGACGTGCTTGAAAGTCCTAGTAGTGGACTCATATTTTAAGCCGATGCATTATATTCCCAGAAGACAGCTCCCAAAATACCACGAGTACTCATGGATATATCCACATGAAATACTTGAACCAAACAATTTTCTGTAGAAGGATAAGAATGCTGACTCTAAATACAGCGATGGGCAAGTTTTACAAGAACTGTTGTTCAGAAACTAGAGAGCTGGAAAATACTCTTTTCTGTTTTTTTAAAAAATGTCTATCACTTATAATATTTGGAGCTGGAACTTATTTTTGTATACGATCGAACCTAGGGATTTGAAAATCTGTAAAACAGAACTAACTTTCTGCTTAAAATAAGGATTAGTGTTTGTTTTTGAACATTTAGATCTTTGATCCATTTTGATTTTAATTCAGTATTTGGTGAGAGATAAGAATCCACTTTCAATCTTCTGCAAACATAACCAGTTTTCCTAAAACCTCTTGTTGAATAGGCTATCATTCCTTTTTTTTTTTTTTTTTTTTTTTTTTTTTGTCTTTTTCCTTTTTGTCGGTACTGGGGATCGAACTCATGACTGCCTGCTTGCAAGGCAGGTGCTTATGCCGCTGAGCTAAACCTCCAGCCTCTATTGTTCCTTTAGCGTATGCTTTTGGCCCCTTTGTCGAAGGCCAAATAGCTCAATAGTTTTAGCCTGGGGAAGCTAAAACACTTGAATACATAGGTGCACAAAAGAATTGGCTAAACAGAGCCTCAGTTGCACATGAAATAATAACGGGAACCAATAAATGGGATTATATCAGACTAAAAATCTTCTATACAGCAGAAGAATCAATCAGTAGAGTAAAAAGGCAACCTACAGAATGGGAGAAACTTTTGCCAGCTACTCTTGAAATGGAAGACTAATATCTAGAATATACAAAGAACACACACAAAAAATATGCCACCAAAAGTTAAAGGCCCCGTCAAGGAATGGGCAAGAGAAATGGGCAGACACTTCAGAGAGGGAGAAATACAAATGACCAACAGATATGTGAAGAAGTGTTCAACATCTTTAGCCATTAGAAAAATGCAAATTCAAATAATACTGATTCCATCTTCCTACAGAAAGAATGGCAATCGTTAAGAAATTAAACAACAAGAAACTCTGGTGTGATAGTGGTGAAAAAGGGATCTTCTTCAGTGTTGATAAAGAATGTAAACTAGTGTAACCGCTGTGGAAATCATTGTGGAGACTTCTTAAAGAACAAAAACTAGAAATTCCATATGAGTCAGTTATCTCCCTGCTAGGTATCTTCCCCAAGAGTCTGAGATAATACTATAGGGATACACGTGTATCAATGTAGATAGGAACGCAATTTGTACTAGCTGAATCCTGAAAGTGGCCTGCCCATTGCCAGTCAATGAAAATGTGGTATCTAAGTATAATGAAATACTACTTGACTATAAAGAAGGACAGAACCGAGACATTTGTAGGAAAATTAATGCATCTGGAAAATATAATGTTAAGTAAAATAAACCAGACACACAAGCTTAAATACCATATTGTGTCTCTCATTTGGGTGAGGCAAAGTAGACCCAAAAAGAATAATAAAGGAAGGATAGAAGCAGACCAGGGGCTGGATCTCTTGCAGTCGGGAGGAATCCAAGGGAACAAGACTGAGGAATGAGGAAGAGGGGAGAGGGAAATAGGCAGAATAAAGATATGCTACACCCAGGAGTGTAAAACTCAGCCAATCAGATATTACATCCCATAACATAACATGACCTAAGGTTAATCATATCAACAAAAGCAAAAAGTGGGAGAGAGAATTTGAAAAGGAGAGAAGGAATGGGAGGGAGGGGAAAGGGGATTTCAGAGAAAGAAACAGTCTGTAGGACATCTCTGTAACCACTCTCCAAGATGACTGCACTGAGAGCTGCAGACATGTACTAATCAAATAAAAGATACAAAACTTTAAAAAAGGAATTCTGATTCCACAGCACTTGGGTCTCTTTGGGGTGTTTAAAAACCTTTTCCTGCTAGCTAGAAGGAAACTGAGTTAAAAACAAACTCCCCCTGGCCTTCCCCTCTTACCCTGAGCTCTTTCTCTGTTGCTTCTTAGGTGCTTCGACCTCCTTTAGAGACTGTTTTTCCCTCTTTCTAAGACGTCAGACTTGGCTGATTTGTTTCCTTCTTCCACTTCTCTCGCCCCTTTGACCCACTTCCCACTGTAGATGCCGTTGTTGCCTTGGGTCGTTTCGACTATAACTGAGTTGTTTTGTTCTTCTGAGTGTGCAGGATGCTTTATACATCCTCTCTCATGGAGCAGGGGCCTTATTTTCCCTTTTTGAAAGATGAGACCAATTCAGAGAAGATTAGGAAGTTGCCTGGTGTTACAGAGCTGGTATTTAAAACAACCAATATTTACTGTCTCCCTTTTTATTTTTTCTTCCTCCTATTTTTTTCTTTTAAGTTTTAAAATTCTTCGCTTTTACCTCTGGAAGTAAAAAATTTTGGTTAGTTAATTCATGTGGGCAACTTGTACCCGCTTTAACATGTTCCCTTCAAATTCACTTCTGCCAAGGTGTGGAACTGCCCTCATGCTTGCGGAGACAGATACCTGAGGCTTCCTGGAAGACCTGGACAGCTCTCCGATTAGCTTGAAATCTGCACCTAAGCCCTATCAACGGCCACTGAGTGGGCAGATCTCCCAGAAATTTTCTTCTTCCTCTCATTGGTTCTTTTTTCTATGATCCTTAATTTTATATCCAAATTTATTCTTTTGGAAAATATATTTCTCTATGGCCTGCTTTTTTGAATGCAGTAGTGATGAAGTTTTGTGAATTTCTGAGCAGTGAGATTTAAAAACTGCTTTATATCCACACAAAAGATAATTCTTAATTTTGGACAGGGTGCCAGAGACCTTTATTTAAGGTTGGATTGCTCATAATGTAATTGCTTTGCAGACAATTTTCTAATAGGAAAAGGGAGAAACATCTCAAATCAAGCAAGTTGATTTTTCTTTGAACTTGTTAAATTCTTAACCATCACTGACCCAGATAAATGGAAACAGATGGCTGAATGCTAACTTGAGTTGTGATGTGGCGGCCCTTGCAGCCGACTCTGTGTTTTATAGATGCTGTTAATGATGCTGACACTGAGGGACAGAGCCGTGTGCTTCCAGGGTCCCCTTTGTAAACAGTGTGATGGCTGATCATCTTCTGTGAAACTGGCATGGTGTCCCCCATGGCCTCTCCCAGTTGTCTGATGTTCCCTGAAACACTGCTTCTCACAAGTGACTGCTTTATTGCATTTTTTCCAGGGGTGAGCTCTGCCTGTCTCGGGAGACCTCCTTGATGCCAGCCTCTTTTCTTCAGACCTGCCATCTGCTCCAGTGAATAATTCTACCAAGCGTGTTTCCCATGATTTCCCTCATTATGTCTCAACATCCTTCACACAGTACGTGGTTTTTATGGAGCTGGTGTTTCTTGGGGAGGAAACTGGAAGGGAATGAGGGGGTTTACAAAAATAATGACTGAGCTTTGCTTAAAAGATGTTCCAAATCACCCACTTATAAATTGACTATTTAGAGAGGCAGATTTCAGAATTGGCTGGGGAGCATTAAGGAAAAGAAATAGAAGTAATTGGAGCTCAGCAGATATATATTTAGATAACAAATTCAAAGACAGACAGATGAAGAAACCTAGATAAACAATGAAAAGATTAGCAAATGGAAACAATAGATAGCAATTGGGTCACACGGCTGACATGTGAATGAATCCTGACTGGGAAGAGTTAGGAAGAAGCTGCAGAAGGAGGCAGAGATGATCTGAGAAGCCAAGTCTGACAATGCCAAATGAGCATGTTACTGACTGAATACAGCTCTGGACTCAGGGAGAGTGAAATTTCCTCCTGTGTTGGCATCAAAGGATGATACGCATGCCAATCTGTGGTGCCAATATCATTATCCTTGGCTTGGTTCCAATCCCTCTTTGACACTGTGCTGATCTTCAGACCCTTCTGGACTCAGAAAGGGCGTTTATGAAAGACCGGCACATTTGTTCCTTCATCTCGTACCCATAAGCTTACTTGCCAGGAGTTATGCTAGACTGCTTGCAAATACTGATTTATGTGTATATAGGAATTGAGTTTGCCAGATATGATTCAGTATGTGCTTCCTAACAACTTTAGATGTAGATTTTAATGCTTTCACTTCACAGGTCAGATGCAGTGAAGCTCAGGAGGTTAAATTACTTTGTCTAAGGTTTCATAGCTCTTGAGCAGAAAATCTGCAATTGAACATTTATTACTCAGTATACAAAGCACAAAATTTGTTGCTGAGATGCCAAAGATGAATAAGAAATGGTCTCTGCCCTCAAAAAGTTAGAAAACAGGGAGAGAGCAAAGATAATAACAGGGATAAAACAGGGATAATATGAAGATAATGCAACTCCCAGGATAATGCAAGCAAGAACTAAGTATTGATAAGATAGATACAGTGGGATAGGAACTGATAGGACTTCAAAGAATCTTCTCTTCTAAAGGTCTTTGAATTGTAGCTGAGAATTGATGAGGCCAAAAGCAAGCTCTAAGATCCTGAGAAGCAAATCCTAAAAGGGATATTTTGGCTAGTGCTGATTGAAATGTGGGACGGATGCTTTTGGGCAGAGATTTTTGTTTTCTGACTCCTAACTTATACAGTGTATAGAGAATTTGTTTGTTAAATCTGACATTTGGTCTATGTTTTAGAGGCCAGGGGCTAAGAATGGGTTCCATGGACTCTGAGTGGGCAGATAAATAACATCATTAGAGAGCTCAGACTTTAGAAAAAGCTTATTCTTGATGCCTGCTTGATAATTGCTTTGATATTTTGCAATTCACCAAGTATGTGAAAGAACTCAGTCAGTTCATTTCCAATCCACCTCTATACAGGACCTCTACAAACTCCCACCTCCTCTCCCTATCCCATTGCTGCTAGTCTACCAGGCTTATTCTTCACCTAAATAAACTTTTAAAATGGGCCCTTCTCCTCCTAATTCACAGTGACAAGTATAATTAACAGTCAGGATCCTTATCACTGCTTGGTTTACTCTGATTTAGAGAAATGTCAAGGTGTGATACAGAGGGCTAGCGTGGATGTGTATCTCAGCTTTTCAGGGCAGTCCCAATTTATGTCTGTAGTTTTAGCCTCATGACTCTTTCGTCTACTCACAAATGCATCCTGATTTGCGTGTCACCTGCGTGAGGCCCTTAACCGCTTGGTCTTGGCAAACCTTCCCAGGTCCGTATCTCAGCTCTCCAAGCTGTGGTACCCAGTGCTGTAGACACAGCTCTCTTGGTCATCAGCAACCAGGGCCCTCATTTCTGCAACTCTGCACTTTTATACTGGATTGGCCTACGTTTCTCTCTAATTTTCACACCCAGTTCAGATATCATGTTGTTCTTTTTTAAAAAAATAACAGATTTAGTTTGTGCTGGAATTAATTGCTTTCTTCTTCTAAGTCCAAAAACACTTCTTTGGTCTCTATCATGTGTTTATTTTCTTCCTGCCATGTTTTGTAACTGTTTAGATCACACTCATTGCCTAGAATGTGAATTCCATAAGCACAGAGACTGTACTGAGTCTCTTCTCAGTAGTGGCTTCTGGTGCAGAATTTTGTACAGAGAAGGGACTCAGAAGAGTTTATGACTCATGACATGAGTAGCTTACTAATGAGGAGTTAATTCATGACCCCTCAGTTTAGGTTGAATTGTTCCCTTTTCCTTAAGTTCAATCTTCTGTGGCCTCTGTGATCCTTTGCATTTTGCAAGAGGGGCCTCATATGACGCTTCTTATATAACAGGGTCATAGATTTCAGTCTGAGACACCTCATCCTTCAACAGATACTCTTTGCATCATTAATGACCACTATCCCTTTCTACTTTCCATCTGAATACTTGTAACCTACTTTGAGAAAGCCAATCTAGGCAAGCATGGGTTATAAACACATGAGAGGTGATTATTTGCCTTATGAAAAAAATCCATGCAGAATTGTTTTGATTACAGTTGCAGATTGTAATTGAAGAGTGCGTTCATTAAATATAGGCAACCTCTATAGTTTGCAGACTATGAGTAGATTTGTATTTCCATGTTCATTATCTTCTTTTAGTTTCCTGGTTGTTTTGAAATAACCCCATTTCACTGTTGTCTTCATTTCTTCTCTTATTGCTAAGACAAAATATCTGACATCCAAAGTTAAAAGAGGAAAGGTTTATTTGCCTCATAGTTTGCAGAGGTTTAGTTCATAGTTGGCTGGCTCGAAGGCAGGGTGGCATGGCAGAGGCGGATCACAGAGGAGAAACAGTTCATGGAAGGCAGCAAGCAGAATGCAGAAGTCTGCAAGCAGCAGGGACAAGTGACAAGGAGCAAGCATTCACAGCAGCCCCTTTCTGTCACTTATATTTCATCCAAAGTACTCTGGGAGGGCAGCACTCACACCCTTAATCCTATTACCACACTTTGAATCAATCCCAGCATCACATCCTTGACAATCTAGATAATGTCTTTAGGGCATCTCACGACTATAGGACAGGATCCCACAATCTAGATAACAGCCACCTCCACAAAGCCCAACCTATCACTGCACGAGGCTTTGGGGAAACTCTATATACAAGCCATACGGTTGTGTCAAGTGTTCTGGGTTTCTGGTCTTGTTGGTTTCTAGTCTTTATTTAATATTTTAACCCCAATTATCCCTAGAAGGTGAGGAGATGAATATTTCTCATTTTTCAGTCATTCAGTATATTAGCTGTCCTATTGTTAGGAGCAAATACCCAACACCACAACTTGAATAAAGACATGCTTTATTTGCCTCATAGTTTTTGGAGGTTAAGCCTATGGTCAGCTGACACTAAGGCAGGAACAACACGGCAGAAAGGTGTTGTGGAGCAAAGCTCCTCATTTCACGTGGCCAGGAATGGAGCAGGGGTACAGCACTAGAGAGGAAGGGTCAGGGACTCGATGTGGACCTTAACTCGATGTGGACCATGCCACGCTTCCATGGTCTACTCAGACAAGCAACAAAGTATACTCTACTTATCCTCTAGATGAGTCTGAGTCAGTCAAATTGGCAGGTTTCATCAGCACATTCCAATCCTTGTCAACTGAACACATCTTAAGTTATTTGTACTATTTAAATAAACATAATAACAAGCTCACAGTACTGCCAAAAATACAATAATCCCTTCCCTAGTGTCTCAACATTTCCAGTCTTGCTCAAAAGGAAATTGCAATGTTTCCCCTGAGACTCAGGCAAACTTTTAGCTATGAACCTATAAAATTCTGAAAGCAAGTTATATATTAGGGAAGAATATGGGGATAGAAAAGAGTAAGACCAAAGCAAGACTAAACCCCATCAGGACAAATGTTATATCCTAGAGCTCAGTGTTCAATGTCTGGACACACGGTGGTAAAAGGTGGACATGGAGGGCTTGCATGGCCCCATACTTGTGGCCCTGCTGGTTACAGCCTACACAGGCTCTCTCTTGGGCTGGTTCTGCCTGCTGTCTTTGGCTCTCCATTACAGATATTCTATACTTCTGACATCTCCAAGCTTCTGTAGTCGCCTTCAGCTTCCTTCTTACAACTTCATACAACTTCCTCTCAAGGGCACATTTCCTGGCCATGCAGGCCTCCCTTAGAAATCTGGGCAGAGGCCGCCATGATCCTGCAGTTACCGTAGTCTTTCTCCTGAACAGTCACCATTGCAGGGATGAGGGCAAGGCCTGCTTCCAGCACAGTCACTAGCCGGGCCCCTTGGACCATGGCTGCAGCAGTCTGAGTCTCTCCACAATGGAGCATGGTGAAGTGAATGTTGGGGGTTGATTCCTTAGGCTAGCCTTCTTGAATGGGGCTCCAGGGAACCTCTTCAAATGAATTTTGTACAATTTTGCACCTTTGAACCTGCCACGGATCCTGTCCTATAGTCGTGAGATGCCCTAAAGACATTTTTGTTCTTGACCTTAAAGTATTTAAAGTATTTCATTTATATTTAATGGCTCCAGTAACCACATCTCCTTTGGCCCAAATGTATGTGTGTTTTGTTTTTGGACCCGTATTTAAGCTTTAAAACTTCCAATTTTATTTCTTGACCACAATTCTCACTACAAATCTGGTTAAATGCAATTAGCAGTAATCATACCACAACCAGAATTTTGGGCGGCACTGAAATTTTCTTCACCAAATCAGTTCCTACACCATTCTTAAACTTAAGCTCCTCTGAAGTCTCAGGACATGGGCAAAATGCAGACAAATTTTTTTTTTTTGTCAGAATGTGACATAATTGTCTTTAGTCTAATTGCAAACAGAGTTCTTCTGGCCAACTAAAACCTCCTGAATCTTGTCTTTACTGTCTGTATGTTTATCAGCATTCTGGTCTTCTGAGTGCTAATGAGAGTTTTTTTTTTTTTTAATCAAATTC